AGGTTGAAAAGGAAAAAAAAAGTGAAGTGGAAAAGGATAAAAAGAAGACTATCAAAATTGAAAAAAATAGAAATAAATAAAGTGTCGATTCAAATGGAGAGATACCTAGCTTTTCGCTCTCATAAATTAGCTTTGATTCTTTATGAATTAGCTTTTGGTAGCTTTTGGTAGCTTTTGTAGCTTAAAAGCTTAGTTTCTTCGTAAATAAGCTCTGACCCTTAGTGAATAAACTGTGTTATCTGGGGATAAATACATTATAGATCAGTAATAGCAAATGACAAGATCATAAAAATTTTTATGAAAATGACTATAAATGATCTATCATTTTAAATTGACAATGTCATTTATTATAAAAAAAATTTATACAAAACCATGGCAAAATGACAAGTCATAAAAAATATTTTATAAATAACATTAAAATAACAAATAAATAACAATAATATTAATACTAAATATGTTTTTAAAACCAAACTTCTTTGTCAAGAACAATTTTTAAATAATTCTTAAACTGCTTTATTATACTAGCAATTTTGTAGCATAAGTTAGCTGGTAGTACAAAACAGGCTGGCAGTCAAGCTAGCAATTGTTATAACTAGTAGGAGAGCTTATAGAGTCTTGAACCAATTTAGCTTTAATTGTGGTTAAAGTTAAATAGTTTAAATTGATAAACTTATATACATAATTACAGGTCAAGGTTTCTCTTTATTAATATAAATTAATATATCAGTTTATTATAATACTAAATACTATTAATAATTGTTAATAAACATTCTAAGAACTGTATTTACAACTATTCTTATAACAGTTATTTTCTTCATATACTAAACTACACCCTTATATATCTTTATTTATATGGATTTTAAACTCTTACTGAGGGTTATTATTTCTCATTAGGTTTATTAACACTTTAACCACCCAACTATACCATGAACTATACCAAAATAAAAATATATAAAATGTTAATCAAATAATATAACAATAACTGGTGGTCTTCTATCTGCATGATGCAGACTGGTTGTAATCATAAAAATTTTGAAAAAAAGCAAGATTATGTGGGGTGAGTAGGGCTGGGTGCAAATATAGCTAGCTACTTTCTAGAGCTATCATTGGGCTGTCTTGCCACTGCTCACCTTTCTCCGCAAGTTGCTTGTTTATAAAATTTATATAAACTATAAATAACAAGAATAGTCATAAAAATATAAATAATTTTTTTATAACAAAAATAACTTGTTATATAACAAGTTTCATTTATTTTTAAATGACAATATGTCATTACTGTTATAGGTGGTAGTATCTGGTACAATACTCCAGTTATCATAGTGTCAGAGGCTAAATAAGTGACATAAACCAAACAATTACCTAAAAACATACAAACCCAACTCACACCTCTCGATATACTCGATTGGTAGAGGTGGTTTTGATTTGTCAAGATAAAGCTAAATCAGATATATTGTGAGTTTTGAACAATCAATTTTTATTTATTCAAGCACACTTGACATCTTGTTCTTTATTAGAGGGCAAAAAGAGCCATATTTATAACAATTTACATATGGAAGAAGAGCTAAAGAAAAAAAACCTTTCTAATTTAAACCTCAAGCCACTCTATGCTATGTGGACCATCAAAGCTTTGCTTCCTCTGGCTAAGCTTTTGGCACTGTCTCAACCCTAAATTGGTCCAATTTGATTTTTCTTTTTCTTGTGGCTTTTTGTCAATTATTTTGCTACATTTTAGCCATAATTACAGCTACTATTTTCTGGGGCTTTGGTTCGGAACTTCATCACGTTTTTGGACTTTGTGATATTGATTTTGACACAGCAATTTTGCCTCTAACAGTTCTTCTCTGACTAATTTTTTTACATTTTGTGAAAAATTACTTTGTTTTTTTGCATGCTTCTAATACTGAGGTTCTTTTAACAAAAAAAACTAAACAAAAAAAATAAATTTTATTTTATTTTATTTTATTTTATTTTCTGTATGAGCCTTTTCAAAGGCTTTCACTTGAAGGCCAGTTTAGTTTGTCTCCTTCTAGAATCCTATACCCAGGCTTCATCCCACCATAGTAAGTATAGAGTGGCCTTATTTATTGGGTTTTTCTTAACTTTACTAACCTATTCCCCTTTTAGCTCTATTTGGCAGGCTAATTCTAATCTTGACTCTTATAATATATATATATACATTTCAGAGCTTCTTTTTTTTCTTCACAACGATTTCAATGAGTCCTTTTACCACTTGCTCAGAGACAATATCAAAGGTTGGGACAAATTTGCTTCTTCTGAATTTACTTAGTTTGCCCGTATTTTTTTCTAAAAATTTGTCTGCTATTTTCTTCCAATTTTTGCCAGTTTTTTTAAGACTTATTCCACTTTAATATCAGGACCCACTGGGGTCAAATTGTCTAGTCGAATTGTCATCTTTAGCATTTTCCAGGTACAATTTCATCATTTTGTACTTTTCACCTTTGATTCTATTTAGATAGCTATTTCCAACTTGCTTGGTTTTATTAGTATCATCTGTCTTTGCAGGTTTTTGATAAAGGCCAAATGCCTTATCTTCATCTTTTTTATCACCTTTCTCAACTCTAATTCTGTTTCGATAGCAACTACCAACTTTCAATATATCTTTGACTTAAGCGAGTTTTATTTTGGTTAGTTTATTTGCTTCTTTATTTCATTTGAACGACCTTTGAAATTCTTCAATCCTTTTTGCCCACAATTCACAGGCTTTTTCGTGGTCATTTTTTTCCAAAAAACGTTTACCTTTCTAGCATTCTGGGGACCAATCAAGCATCTTATATTCATCCTTTTCATCTTTTTTAACACCACTTCTATCCTTTTTTTCAACTTCTTTTTCAGTTCCACTTTTCTCTTTTTCTTCTGCTTCACTACTTCAATTTCTGTCTTTTAACTTTACTTTCTCCACTTTTCTCATCCTTTTTAGCTTTGCTTTTTTTATTTTTTTCGACTTCAATTCACTTTTGTTCGTTCTGTTCAACTTCACTTTCCTTTTCCACCTTATCTTCATGATCCAATTTGATTATTTCATTCACATAATCTATCTTTGCTAGCTTTTGATAATAATCGAAGTTCTTGTGTTCATTCATTTTCACTTTAATTTCATCTTTTTTATCTTTTTCAACTCCACTTTCTTTATTTCTATTTTTTTCAATTTTGATAGTCTTCTTTTTATCCTTTTCCACTTCACTTTTTTTTTCCTTTTCAACCT